GGTGATCTTCGTCGTGACCGATTCGCTCTTCTCGACGGGAGAGTCGTCCTCGGAGCCGGGGCCCGGTACTTAGGCGGTGTCGCCGGGATCGGATGAGGGACCCCTGGTGGAGGAAGGAGTTCCTCTTGCGGACGACTACAAATTTGCCTATCACCACGACACCTGGTAAGTGTTCGGCCAGTACTAGGATTACGAACCTTTCGTCGAGAATTGGGAACCGTCCAAGAAGAAGAGCCCCAGTGATTCATTCCGCAGTACACTGGAACCGAGGAGCGCGCTGGGACCGGCCGGCGTTTGACTGGAGCTGGACGTCCAAGGGGTTCGCACCCTCAGACAACACGGTGTTCGCGTACACGGCGTCCCGTGCCCCAGCAGCCTTACGAGGCTCCGCCGGTCGCTGTTAAGAAGACGGTCACTGCCAATCCGGTGGCCCCTTACAGGACCACGGGGACCGGGCGTGTCTGGGACGGGTACTGCTCGGACGGCTACTGCTGCTACGGGAGGTCAGAGTAACGCGGCGACCCGGACGCATCCTGCTCCGCCTGGAATCCTTAGGACTGGTCCGCGCCCTGCTTGGACGGGACTAGTAGGGAGCGCCCCGGGCGTTCCGCCGCGTTCGGCAGTGGTGCCGCGAGGTCCGCAGGCCCCTCCGCGTGCTGGTGTTCGACCACCGGTCCGGGCCCTGCCTGGGCCGTCACGCCTGCCGAGGCGTGAAGACTGGACCACGAAGATGTCGACTGTGATGAAGGTGCTGCCGATGTTCTACTCGGACACGGCTACGGTGGAGAAGGCGCGCGACTTCTGGGAGCTGTTCGAGGACCACACTGACCGGTTGCCAGACAGAGAGCGACTGTTGGTTTTCCGACAGAAGCTGAAGGGACGTGAGGCCGAAAGATGGTGGAGCAACTCCAGCATCAAGTCGTTCGCGACGCTGAAGGTGCGTTTCCACAACCGGTTTCTCAGCAGGACGGCCGACGAGCTCTGGGAGAGACTGTACTCCACTAAGCGTGAACGCGGCGAGTCAGTGGAGGAATGGAGAGACCGAGTCACAGACCTGTGCGACTCCCTCGACTATCCGAACCCTCAGATGCGGTATCAGTTGTTCCGTCGTGGCCTGAAGAACAAGAGGATGCTGGCTGCTCTAGATTTAAGCCCGGCTCGAGATATTCCGGAGGCGCGCGAGTGGCTAATGTTCAAGGACATGCATCGTCCTGTGGAGGAAGACGACGACCTTCCTGACGAGTCGCGGGCGAGGACTGATAGTCACACGGCGACTGTGCACGCTCTAACCCAGAAGCTGGACGACTTCCTGTTGCAGCAGCTGGAATGGCAACACCAGGTGATAAAAGATTTGCAGTCCGTGCCGCCGGCTGCGGTGCCTACTGTATCGGCGGTGGTGCCGAGCTCCGGAGGCCACGGACAGCTCCCTCCCGCTGGTGGAGCTGGTCCGTTCGGAGGTAATCGTGCCCGTCGAGGCATCAAGATGGCGGAGGATGCCACACACAAGAAGGAGAACCTGTCTGTGGTCGATGCGACTACAAGGGTCACACTCGCGTGACGTGTTCGCGCCAAACGATGACTTGCCGACGGTGTACCCAGTACGGTCATATTGTGGCTGAGTGTGAGGTGCCGTATACCGGGGCCCGTGGCCCGCCCAGCGGTGGAAACGGAGGAGGAAACTCGACGATGCGGTGTTTCTACTGCCACCAGATCGGTCATAGTGTCTCTCAGTGTCCCGAGATCGCTACTCTGAAAGGGATTGGCCACGACTCTGAAGGCGTCGACGGCCGAAGCGTCTCGTCAATGACGGGAGCGTGAGGGAGGGGAAGAACGAGTCACTCCTTCCTCTGGTCAAGTGGATGACTCGAGTGGCGGCCGAGTGAAGGATGGAGGAGACAAGGCCGTTACAGTGGACGTTGATGAAGAGGTAGCAGTGACGGGGAAAGAGGACAGCGCGGTGGCTGTTGTGGTGCAGAAAGAGAAGAAGACGAAGGAAAAGGAGAACAAGTCGAAGGAAAAGAGGGGTATCCGGATAGTAGGCACGGAAGAAGAGGGAAACCTTGTCGTGGTGAACGACGCCCCGGAACGGTGTGAGAAGGTAGCCGTGGATCTATCCAAGGTGGCCTCTACGGTGGGAACTACCGTCGCTGTCGACGGCGTCACGGTTCCTGTGGAGACTCTGCCTGTGGGGCAGAAGACGCGGCCGGAACGAAGGATGCGCGCGGAGGGGTAAGCAGTGTTGATGGACCTAGCGCCGCTGTGACGTACAGGAACAAGGAGGCTGACACGGACGAGGATGCCAAATCGAGCAAGGAGGTCGAGCAAACTGAAACTGGCTGTATCTTCACGGATGCGGAACTGGACGCCATGGAGGAGTGTGATCCCGGCCAAGAGGCTACGGTTTTAGCTGGCGCGAAAGTTAATACGGAAAGTGAAGAATATGACAAGGAGTTAGAGGACCGTTTGTACCCGTTGGACGACGCCGTTGTATTGGAGCGTGTGCGACTAAACACTGAGGCCGTAAGGGACCCTTCAATAGCGGAGTTGTCTCGGTTGTTGGGCATCTCGCCCGAGGTCTTGGAGCGAACTCGCCGTGCCTTCCCTGGAAAGCTTGCCTGGCCGGAGCACTGGCAAGACTGGTTCCGGAAGACGTTGGAGACGACCGAGGAGGCCAAATGGGCCAACCGAGACTTCAAGACGCCCGTAGTAAATGCTGTGCGTACGGCTATTACTACCCTAGGAAGGTCGTCACCGTCGGAGAAGCTGAACGAGGGCCGTGAGAATCCCCGACGAGTGGAGGATCGAGGTGAAGACGACGTCTGTGCCAACATCCTGTTGCCCGCCGTCGGAACGGATGCTGGAGAAGAAGACGGAAGACTTTCACGCCCTGGTGACAGTTCTCCGGTAGTTGATTATCGAGGCGTACGTGCGACGGGGCGTACCGTCGCTTATCGCTGGTTGCAGGAGTGCTTGGAGGCTGGTAGCGCGACGGCGTCGACGCTCTGGCGAAGACGGACATACGACTGACGGAGTTCAGCC